TTCGCGTCGTATAACAAGTACGGTTCTTTATATCTTCGCCGAGCTTTTACTCATTACGGACTCTTTCTATAGCTCGGGCCTAGCGAGAGTGGCAGCTCTACACGCGAAATGGGTGCGCGGCAGTCCCAAAGGTGCATTGAGTACGGAATGTCAAGAACTCAATGCTTTACACTCTCAAGCAGTCGATGGTGCATCTGTAAAGATACCTGAACGCCTGGCATCACCACCGGAACCACCTGGGCCCTTCATTCTCGATCTGCTGGCAGAAGCAGCAACGAAATTCGCCGGGGAGTTTGCACGATCCGGGGAGACAAGAGCAGCGATAGTCTCACAGCCAGGTGACGAACTCGCCAAGGAGGATCGCGAGAAGATTCTTTTGCGACTTCTACAGAGTCAAGAGAGCAACATCACAGAGTACGAACTGTTCACACTCGCCTGGCGATTTTGCCAAAAGTTCTCTCTTCCGCTGGCACCATATATGGGCCACTTCGACTTTGGTGCATTCGCTGCACAACAGAAGTACGCGATACTCAGCACAATGGACGTGGACGTGGAAAAGTACCCGTTCTTCTGGAACTCCCTGTTTCGCTCAGACCTCTTGAGCGAGAGGGATTTGTACCAAAGATGCCTAAATCATCCATTCTCGATCCAGCGGTTATATTCCTCGAAGATCAACGGGCTGGCTACCTTTTTCGAGTATCTAAGAATGGCAACACAAGAGTATACTCGGAAGGTATTGATACTAAAGGTGTGATTCCTTTTTGTCCGTTTTTGATGAAGCTAATGAAAGTAGACAGACGACCGGTTCGCCGTAGGAATATTCATGAGAGGAGAAATCGCCTGGGACGAAGACCCCATCGTAAAGGATAATGTGGTGGTTTGTTCTTTCCTTCCGCAAACCACATCAACCATGTCTACGTACCGTCCATGTACGGCAGACTATAGGCTTCACTGCAGCGACGTGAACCTCCAGTTTTACGATAAGCTTCGCAGGAACACTTTCATCTTTTTGACCAAACCTCCTCGTGCATCTGGGGCCGAAATTGCGGCAAGTATAGCCTTGCAGAAGTTTTCAACCAGGGTACAACAGGTATGCCTAGTATCATTTCGTGCTGTGCTATATCTAATGAAGCTTTCAGCAACTGGGGAGACTGAATCGTTCGCCTGTCACCGGCATTGAGATACATGTCGTGTCTAACCGTGATCGAGTATCTCATCAATTGTTTGATCTATGGTTTGAGCAGTAAGTGCACGCCTTATAGTCATTTGTCGCACACCTAATCTCTTCAACAGTGTCCCTACAGAAGTACGCGTACGGAGGTTCGAACGCGAGGTTACTTCATATAGTCTGAATGATATCCGCAATGTCAAGTGGGACGAATATCCAGGCTGGATACAATCCGTATACTACCCAAAGCAAAACCAGGATGCCGTTACTAGACTGCTTGATGCGAAGACCTCCGATGAGCTAGACAAGTGCATGCGGGTCGGACAGGAATATCATGCTGAAGACGAACTCTTTTGGGTTTATTCAGTCATCCTTTCTCAAGAGTCTGTCCGCCGAGAGTTAGTCATCAAATGGATGGACCTTCACCCCCCACTCTCCTTCATGCTTCTCCTGAAGTACCCTCCAGATGATACCGGGGCCTTGAGCGCCGAAGCGCGTCCTTTCCGTCTCAACATTTTACACAACATTATTCGCTCTGCCAACCAGCTTGGTATAGCATGTCTCGTTGCTTTTGAGAAGCTGTCTGCGACGATCAGCCAACTCTCAGCGGAGGATTATTTCAATCTCCTATGGCTTTCTGCCCTATCCATTCGTTCCCCACAGCTCGTTCAGGAAACGCTTTTTGTGCTCAATGATTGTCGAGCATCTCAAATAGACCCACCAAGAACCCCTGCTCTGCAATACGGGGACAGCCACGCTCTTGGTATAGCCATGGACCGAGCAGAAGAAGCTGCGGATGAATGTCCCTGCGACGAGGATGGGAGACCACGAAAGCAGCGTACACCACCGTCTCAGACTCGCTTAAGGCGGGTCGAGGATAGCCCTTTTGAAATTATGGCCACTCTTCGTGTGGACTCTCGAACGCCTATCCGGTTACATTCACATGTACGGCTTCAAGCTGCGTCAAAACCCGAGAATAGATGGGTATCACCGATCATCTTAGACGGGATAGTGGTTCAATCCATGAAAGGAGAACTGAAGATCGAGGTCTTCCATCCTCCACCCCCAGAGATGGAGGTGATTGACTGGAACATGTACCATGCTGGCAGTACTGGTAATGTTCACCGACTTTGGATATTTTTGTTATACTGACAGTTGCGCTTGAACAGCAACTTCTCGAGCCATGCTGGATGCTTTAGCGCGTCTTCTGAAAGATAAGAAGGAATGCTGCGGATTCTACCACATCATTACTGGACACGAAGGGGACGGAACAATAGAGCCCGCAGAGAGGTTCCGACCTTTACTTGGCGAAGAAGAACATCTCGAGGGCTTGAACGACAGTCAAGAGACAGCAGTTCGTTCCTGTTCGGTGCCTTTGTCGTTGATCTGGGGACCTCCTGGTAATCATTTGTTTTTGTGAGTGATATAACGCGAGCTGAAGGGTCCGATCAAATCAGGTACTGGGAAGACTACAGTGATTGTCCAGATTCTGCGTGCGTTGGTGAACACCAAAGATGATGATTCCCGGATTCTCATGACTGCTTCTACACACAATGGTATTTCACATTCTTCTTGCACCCTGATTATCGCTCACATTTCCACGTGTATCAGCTGTCGACAATGTTCTCGAACGTTTTGTTGCCATAAACCAGAGACATAACATTTTACGCGAGGAACAGATACTACGAGTTGCTACCGATCTCTCCAAGGTCAACAAAGACCTCCAGAGCTTCACCATTGATGCTCGAGTTGGTGGGGATATGAACGAAAACAATAGGCTGTTCAAGAAGGCAAAAGAACGATTGGATGCTGCAGTTATCGTGTTTACTACTTGTGCCGGTAAGCGCTTTCGTTTTGATGCCGAACTATCAACAAGTATTGAATATCTGCAGGGGCTGGTCTCGGGATCCTGCGCAAAGCCGAGTTCGACATAGCCTTGATAGACGAAGCCTCGCAGATCAATGAGCCTTGTGCACTGATACCTCTGGTCAAGGGTGTACAGAGGGCTATCCTGGTCGGAGATCAGTGAGTAGCGGCCTGAAAATCATCCTTAGGTCAATGTCAAACTGTACCTTCTAGCGTTCAACTGAGACCCACTGTAAAGAAGATTGGCAAGGCACTTGAATTCGATGTTTCGCTTCTCGAGAGGCTCTATACCGGGCAAGAACATAACGGTCTGAGTAAGGCCATGCTCGATGTAAGCTTTAATATTCACTTTAATTTGCACAGTATGCTCAGGCTTATGCTCGTCTCTAAGATTCAATACCGTTTCCCACAAGAGCTCGCAGCCTTTCCCTCGAACGAGTTTTACGAAGGTAGACTACGCTCTGGTATCCAAGATTCCAGAGCCGTTCTTGATGTTCTCAGACGAACGCGGTTCCCTTGGCCACTCGATAATGGTACCGTAGTCCCCACCATTTTCATCCAGTGTTCTGCCGAAGAGGATATGGGCGGTCGGTCGAAGAGTAATCTCGGACAGGTCGAATTGATAGTAGACCGTGTTATTCCACTTTTAGCCAGTGAAGATCAAGACGCGGATCCACTGAAAATCACCATCTTATCTCCCTACAACAAGCAGATCGCCGAGTTACGGTCTCGACTCCCAAGTTCGGCTACAGCATCGACTATCGACTCATTCCAGGGCCGAGAGAGCGATATCATCATCTTTTCCTCGGTAAGATGTAATGCTGAAGCCGATATTGGGTTCGTGGATGATGCTAGAAGGCTGAATGTGATGTGGACGAGAGCGAGGTTGGCCATGATCATTGTCGGAGATCGGCGAACATTGGAGGCAAATGCTATGTGGAAGAGGGCTATTGGGGCATGCAGACAGGTCGAGCTGGGTCAGTGATTGTGGCAACTATGATGTTCCAAAGTATCTATCATCGAACTTGTACGGCACTCCCAGTAACTTCGTCTGTCATAAAGCTAAACTTTTCCACCAATGACAATCTCCGAAGCAAGTTTCGAAGCACAGAATACTAAACCTACCGTTGTTTTGGAGCTGGAACTAGAAGCTCTCCCTCTCTCAATTCCTCGCCTAGTTGTATGTGACACCGACAATGCCTCCCTTCCAAGCAACAGCAGACGAAATTAAGCGAACAACACGCGCTGTCGTCGCTGTACTGAAGAAGCTCAACCTGGAATGCTGTCTCGTAGGAAGCGTCGCCTGTTCGGCTTATGGAATGTCTCGAACCCCAAACGTACGTGACCATCTACCGAGTGATAAAACCGATATTCACAGAACCATTTACAGGACATTGACATGGTTGTTCTCACCAAGATTTGGACCCAGGAAGAACTCAAGCGACAAGTCGTAGCCAATGATCCAAACTTTTACACTATCGCTTCCAAAGACCCCTTTGCGACGTACCGTGTACTGTTTTATCGCCTTAATGAGTACACTAGTCGATATCTCCGCCGAAGCTGCAAAGTCGATTTGCTGCTTCCTGGGGTGATGAACATCCCAAATGTACCCACATCTTACATTCGGTACATCGACGACAGGCATAGGCTAAAGCCGTTGATGCCATTTCTTCCGTTGCTGATGCTCAAGCTCCAGGCGTGGATGGATCATGGAGAGTCAACCAAGTTGCATATGAGGGCAAAGCAACCGGTGGATGTGAGGGATATCATGGAGTTGCTGAATCTCGCTGTCACCAAGTATACAGACGTCAAGTTGGCGAAAGAGGAGAGCTGGTTACCGGACACGTTTGTCAGTGCGGGTAGAAAGAGGGTGAGGGCTTTCACTAGGATGTATCCGACTTCGGCGAGGCATTGGAAGGCGGTTGGGTTTTGATGAATGTTATTACACAGGATTAATAAAAATTTGTGGACACACTGGGAATTGAACCCAGCACCCCCCGCAGACACTTGATTATGCTAAGCGGATGTGATAACCAACTACACCATGTGCCCTACAAATCAAGATCACAGTATTGCATATATATACTTTCTTCTTGTCGACGCCTGACGCCTGAGCGTCTGAGCAAGGATAAGTAGTTGGGTTGAAAAAATGCCAGCCCATGCAGATAGACCTCATCTCTAGACCTAGATCCCTTCCGTCGCCAGAATACAAGACCTTGAGAAGCTCGAAAACTACGTCTACTTTGGGCGCTTAATGCTATCAAGTTTCTTTCTCCTACCACGTCCACGCTTGACGAGAGACTATCAATTGCAAAGCTCACTAACCCTAGGTTCTCGGAGAATTGAATGATCACAGAGACTTGTAGTTGCGGCCCGGATTGGGCTACACGCTTCCTGACTATCCGTCTTGGCGACTTTGGAAATCAAAACGAACGAATAGGTTGACCATACGTGTACGTCTCTTTTCCATATGTGTATCTGTACCCGCCACAACGGTCTGTTCAATTTTAGTTTCTCCTCTCGGAGCCGGTAAACCTCACTGGATACCACCTGGACCTACAAGCATTCACTTGACTATCAGCTGATCATCGCGTGCGCGTCCGAACCCAAGAGCAGCTGAGGACTGTATCTTCTCATCTGATCCTCTAATGATCACCTGAACGGGCGCAAGGTATAAAGAACTCAAAAGATGCACCAAGCACTTAGCACTTTGCTCGCCTTCCCCATATCCAGACGACTCAGACGACACCTGTATCCATCGACTAGCACCTATGACGCCAACACCTGACAAGGTACTCAATTCGCCCAGGTTCATATCGTTCACCTCACTCTGTCATCTGAACGGTCACCTGCGTGGTACGAGATAACGCGTTGTATATAAAAGACTCGAAAGGCTGAGGTACGTTGCTCGTGTCCTGTTCCCGCCGCCATTCATTATTAAGTCCCGACACGCCCTAGTCCGGATCTTGAGTCTGACTTGGAGCCTCGGGTTCAGCAGCTCACTCAATGTCCTTTGTTCGCCACCCGTCATCATCACGCTGTACACCTGGTGACTGGATCAGCTGGTGTGAGGCGTGTACAATGTCGTGGGGGTATATAACCTTGGAGCGTATGAGTATCCGAGCCTCATCTCTCTACTCTTTCTCCTCCACGTTCCTCGTCAGTCCTAGTCCCAATCCCAGCGCTCCATTCCCGGTCCGACTTTAGGTTCACCTTTCTCTGTCGACATCATCAACTTCGTCATAGGGCACTGCTCCTTCCCGCCACCAACACGAGTACTACCTTCTCCCGATGTTTATATCGACATACCTGTCCCTAGAAACCACTGCTCCCAATCCGAAGTCGCGCTCGCATATCCAACCGAGAGGACACGACAACAGCCAACAAAATTGAACAACCTGTCAACCTTTCAGCCTCAAGATTGCCCTGAGTCACTAATCCGGCAATATCAATTATCAAACCCCCCAGACACCGCAAATTCCATTCGGGACTCGGATGCATTTTACCCCACAACGCCTGCGAGATCAAATGTTGATTACCCCACAATGCTTAGGAGATAGCCAATGCGGGAGGAGAGATTTGTCCAGGCGCGCCGCTTGGAATGGAGAGTATTTGCGGTTTTCGGGCAGTTCGGTGAATACTTTGCTGCGAAGAGGAATAGGAGATGGGAAATTGGTTATTTGGGTACCAAGGTGCGTCGTGCAAACTGCGTGTTATTCGGATATAGCCCGCTTCAGGATGTCTTTCTACCATCATTTCGCCTGCTTGCAATATCCGGGAGACGTACAAGTGTCCATCAATCAATACCATCAACCGCAATCCTCAAGGAGATGGAGAAGGGCAGTTGAGCGGCGTCAAGAGGCTTTTGGATGGCTTTTGACGGGTTAGATCCTTTGCCCCCAACTTTCACACCTGCTTGCTGCCGCTACTGAATTGTCAGTTGTGGCATATTTCGCCGCAGTGAGAGGGCCAAGGATGTTTCACTATTTGTCGTGTGTTGAGGAAGCAGAGCTTTGGACGTTTCCGGCCAGAGATGGATCCCTGGAATCTGAACCACGGTAAATCGGACCGCCGGAAGAGTAGAGAAGCGTTTCAAGGTGGGAGAATTGGGGAAACGTGTTTTGATGTAGCTAGTTTGAGCTGTATAGTATGGCATCGGGAGCGCAGAAAAAAAACAGCGACTTTTTTTTTCTTCTTTCTACTTCTTGATGTGCCTTGGAGAGCGAAAAAGAACATTGACGAGGGAGCAGAAATATTCCACCTGGACAAGAAGCGGTTTGGCGGCCGCGGAATCAAAAAAAGAGTAGAATTCCTTTTCGGAGCTAGAGTTTTCTGATGAGATTGGGGCTCCGCGTGGGGTTTTGATCATTTGCCATTGTTTTGGAACAAATTCCCACAACCCCACTACTCCTCCCAATCTCCTCATCCTCACCACCACATTCATTCTCCTCCCGTCGTTCCTCCTTCACCCCTTCTCCTTCTCCTCCCTTCACGACATGTACACGCATACTTACAAACATCAACCTCATATTCGTCAAGAAGGTTTCTCAGTCGATCCGACTACTCATCCAGCAGGTCAAGATTATCCGAATGATCCCATGGATTTCAATTCAATGGCTCGTATGGACTTTACAGACGAACTAGCATCTCTAATGGGTGCAGCGTCTCCCCCTCATCATACTCAACAACAATCAAACGAACGATCTACTCAAAGCCCTGATCCCGGATCGTACAAAACTCACAACATTTTCGACATGTCAGCGACCACTGCTGCTCCTACGACCAACAACTTCAACTCGACTGTACCGGCTCTCAACTCTAGTATGCGATTCGAGCCTCATGGCTCTAATGAAGGATGGAGGCATACTCCAAGTCCGATTGAAGGTCGCTCAGAGAGTCGATCGAGAAGTCGGCCTCCAGGAGGTGCAAGTGGTGCTGGCCCAGCAAACGGTGGCGGAGGCAATGTTGGTCCCACACGAACAACACGAACCAGACGCGGGAGTAGCGCAGCAGGCGAATACGGTCGCCCTAACGCTATCGTCATACCCGGTTCACGTCCTAATCATCATGGTTTATCTTCACCACTATCTTCGAGCGCAGCAACTACCTCCGGCTCGTGGCTAGGCCCTGCTTCGCCAGCCAGCGAATTTACCCTGCCTACACCTGATTCGTTACACCATCACGGACACCACTCCCTGCATTCCCTGCACAATCACAATTCCTTTGGGGGATACAACGGCAATGCCCCGGGCACGAACGGTTACGGTTCTTACAACCAATCCAACACAGGTGCTAACGGCTATTTCAACGGCAATGGTGCGGGCATGTCACCGCAGACGGAATACCATCTTACTACCCCATCTACGTCCTTACCTGTCACGGGGAACATTCACCAACACCTCGGCGGTCATCACCACCACACACGGTCTACTTCTGCTTCAAACGCACCTACTGTTCAAACGTACGTATAAATCTATCGATCCCAATAACCCAAGCTCAAGAAAGCTTTTACAGCCCCACGAATGCCATATCAGCCAATCAAACGCCCACATCAGCTACAAACATCTCTCCCGCTGAAAAACAAGCCATAGTTGCTTCCGAAAAACGTCGTCGAAGGCGTGAATCGCATAACGCGGTCGAAAGACGCCGAAGAGACAACATCAACGAAAAGATCAGCGAGCTAGCAACGTTGATCCCGGAGGATATGCTGGAAGGTGGTATCCCATGTAAGTGTCTCCACTTTCTCTCCGTATCTCGGTATTAATGACGGGTTTACAGCACTAAGCGGCTCATCAGCTCCACCACCTATCGCACCTTCAACAGCAGGTGGCGATTCGCCTACCTCGCCCGGAGGCGATCTCCTCTCACCCATCGATGGTACAGACTCCCATTTGTGGCCTGAACCCAAGAAGGAAGAATCTCTTGGTATGTTCGGCGAAGATATCCTCGGTTCGGCAACTTCTCCCACTGCAACAACCAACTCGAACGGTTCCGGAAATGGTAATGCCAATAACGCCGGAGGCGTGGTTAAAGCGAACAAGGGGATGATACTAAGGCGAAGTGTAGAGTACATCCGGTGAGCCTCTTTCCTAGTCCTTCTTCGATGTAAACTCGAGGCTGACGATACGACGCCACACAAGGTACCTACAACAGCTTGTGCAAACTCAGAATACACGGAACAGACAGCTTGAGGCTGAGCTTGCGCATTATCGACCTGGGCATGGATCTCCCGGAGATGAGTTCCTGTTTAACCCGCCTAGTGCAGGCGGCGGGTATGGAGTCGAAGGTGCCGGTTATGGTGGATCTTATCGGATTCTGGATTCCATGCCTGAGGAGGCACCTCCGCCTACGAACACCATTTCAGGTACCAACGACGGCAAGGCAGGAGATGTAGGTGTCGGCATGGTATCGCCTGTATCGCAACCTGCCAGTGGTAGTACACCTTCCTCGCCTGAAGACGATGATAGCGAGTACGAAGAAAAGGAGACGTCCAAGAAGAAGGTTGTTGCAAGAGGCAGAAGACCTGCTAGTGGGAGAACTCCTGCAAAGCGGAAAGGTGCGAAAGCCAAGGATGGCGAGGACGTGGACATGGGTGGAAGTGATGCAGAAGAGATTATGCAAGAGTGAACGTTGTTCACCTCAAGTTGTACTACTGACTATGTTTCTATCGTTTTCTCGATCTTTTTTATGCTTACTGCAACGTCATCAATGATTCCCAAAGCTTTCTTTTTACCCACTCTTGTTGTTTCATACCTTCGCAGGACATTCTTAAGCTCAACGAGCTTTGCTGTGCTTTCTCTATCGTTGTTGTTGATCTTTACTGTTAAGTAACCTATATGCCCTGCGTTTTCCGTTCCCCCCTGTTTTCACCGTATGTTCATGTCCATAACTAACGATCTTTTCCCATTACTTTCCTTTTTTTTCTTGTAAAATGCTCTCAGTTCAAATATCCGAAGTGTATTACTACTGTCGACGATCATTAGCACGCATGTTGTAGTTGTTGGATAATGTATTTTTCCGACACATCCCTGTCAAGGGCTCGATTGGACTGT